AGAGGGACAGGACTGACAGACACTAGTGACTCAGCAGCTTCTACTCTGCAGGTATGGGAAAAGTTTACATTCAGCATTTATTTATACTGATGTACTCTGTCAATGTCCACCCCTCCGCTTACAAGTGATCAGTGTTGGACTGAATCATTAATTCAGCTTTGGAATTTGAATCCATCCCAGTCCAGTCAGTTTACTTAAATCTACCGACCTCTATTTGTTTTTTAATTGCTATATTTGGTATTTGGGTCAATAAGCAAATCAGAGTTTCTCTCCATCATCATTAGTGTGGTCAAAGGAATAACTTTGTTAATCTGACTAGATATCTACTAAAGGAATATTTGTTGGAAGAATGAAAAATAGCTTATTGTTCAACTGTACATTTTGTGTGTACAGTTTTTCTTTTTAAAGAATTACACTCAAAACATGTAACAAAGGAAGATGACAGAGTAACAGTACAAAAGTTGTCTAAAAAGAAAAATTAGACATGTTTTGAGGAAATTAAATGTGTCATAAATATGATATTTACATTTTGTTTAAATACGTGAAATATTCTGACCATATAGCAACACACCTAATGGTGAAACCTGTCCACTATAATTTTTGGGAGGAAACTTCTACACAGTATAAATGCAGAACCACAGAGACTTACAAATGAACCTATGTGAGAACTGAGTTTTTAAGTAGGCTGTGCCAATAGAGGCAAGGTCCAAAACTCAGTAGAAACACTGCAAATAGAGTGCATAAAACCACAGACAGTAACATGCCCCCCCCTTCCCAAAGATAAGAAAATATTACATAGTCAGTTCAAGCGTTCAAATAAATATGTTAATAATCGAGCATGCACGAACATTTAAGAACGAAAACCTTCATATATATACACGCACTGAAACTGTAGATAAACTACAAAAATACAGACATGCTTGGTGTGTTTGTTTAGTTTTGTTGACTGGTCTGATCACTAACTGACACTTAGTTTTCTGTACTTGGCTGAAATTATTCTTATTGTTGTTGTTGTTATTATTCTTATTCTTATTCTTATTCTTATTCTTATTCTTATTCTTATCTTAACTCTTTCCATTGTCTCTTTGAGTGCACGCTATATCGAGTAGCTTGCCTAAATTTTATGTGTAAAGTAGCAAGCATGCATTGTGTACCTTACCAATAGCGAGAGCAAACACTCTTTAGGTGAGTGTGACAGAGACCCGGGTGATGCATACAGTTTATTAAATCGCAATAAAGTTTTATGGCACAAAACATGTAATATAATTTTAGCGCCGTTTCAAAAATAGATGTGTCTTGCAATTCAACCGGCCTTTATATCATTCCTTAGGCACTGAAAACAGACAGAAAAGACGGGAAAATCGGTAGCACATCATAACAGAGTAACCGCCATTCGCAATGCGCAGTGATACATTTGATGTCATTACTTGTCCAGTACTGTTTCACGCATCAGCACAGGAAACCTCGCACTCCGCCAGGCAAACGGGATACTGTGTTACAAACTCGCTGTTTTCTTCATGATAGTTGCGTAATAAAGAAAAAAGTGCGTGAAGAAATGGAAAAATGCCGAAAACTGGGAAGTACTTCGTGTGCAATCACTAATTCACGTCCCAGTTCGCATCAGCAACTTCTTAAACGGGAATTGAGACGCCCTGATTCTGTTGTTATTTAATAAAAACAACTGTATTTTATTTTTATGGTTTTTTTTTATCGAAAAAGTTGCGCAATTGTTTCCGCCGCTGTTTTGCAGAAAAACACACCCATTAGTGAGGTCATCGATTTCACGTAAATTTATTGGAGGAAGGAGAATAGGTGGTCCCATTTAAAATCTACGTCACTCGTGAGGAAGAAACATTTTCTCTGATGATGTCCGTTTCGTGTGTTTAGTCAACAAGAGG